TCCTCCCTGCCTCTACTGCCATGCTCCCAAGGGGCTGGAGAGGGGGGCTGTGGTTCCTGGGGGGACTGGAGAGTGGGGCTGGAGAACGGTATGGTGGAGGCTGTGAGCACTGAGAGGGCCTGAGGAATGGGGCTGGGAGTTACCACCAAGCACTGTGTCAGGGGGGGGACTATGAGCCTGGAGGGCAGGCTGGGAGCTGTGGGGGTCCCACCTCTTTCCCCGCCGGCCCCGACGGACAGCTGGGAGGCCATGCATGAGCTGCTCACCAGAGCTGTGGGTTGTGGGTGAGCCCCAACAACAACTTGCCCATCTGCTCGGGGCATCCACAGTGACTGGGGCACAGCCGTGATGAGGGAGAGCTGGAGACCTGCCCAGCACAGCCCCACAGCCTGTGCCACAGCTGGGAAGGACACAACTGAGGTCCCGGGCAAGGTTTTCACTGGGAGCTTGGGACACAACAGGCAGCACAGCAGGACCAGGCACACAGAACAGGCTTGGCAATGGCAGCAAGAACAGATGAGGTCCAGGAGGCTGATGGCAGCAATGCCCCCACAGCTCAGCCCATGCTTGATCCCCATGCACAGGGCCACTGGTGCTGCTGGCAGGGCCTCTGTGTCAGCTTCCCTGGGCAGGGACGAGGGGCCAGGGTGCGAGGACGAGCAGCGGAGCACATGCCAGCAATGCTGGCAGCACACATCGAGGGCTACATCGATAGCAAGCTGCTGTGGGTGCAGTGTGAGGGTGTTGCAAAGCATCTGGCCATCTGGTCCACCAAGATGGAGTCCCCGGAGGAGCCGGAGAAGAGCTCCCTGGCCTGCACTGGGCTCAGGCTGGCCCAGATCAGGAAAGCCACTCTGCAGTGGCAGCAGGATGGCTCAGAGGAGAGGGACGTCCAGCAGAGAGGCAGCTTTTGTCCTGGACAGGGCTCCTGAGGAAGGGAGGTACCAGACACCTCTCACTCCCATAGCACAAGAGGTGACAATGGCACCAGCTTCTCTCTTCAGTGAGCAGGCCACAAGCACCCCGGTAGTGCAGGCAGAGAGCCAAGCACCTGCCCCACACAGCCCCACAGCCTGAGCTGTGGCTCTGCAGGACAGCCCAGGGCACCGTGAGGGGCGTCCTGGCTGAGGCTGCGGCTACGATCCAGGGACCTGGCCAGCAGCGAGTGGAGCAGCGGGACCTGGCACAAAGCCTGGGTGAGGTGATGCCAGCAAGAACACCCAAAGCACCTCAGAACACCAACTGTCCTCTGCCTGGAGAGCCCCAGGGAGAGGCCAGCGCAGCACCTCTTGTCCCAGAAGCAGGTGAGGATGGAGTAAACATGGCATCCCTCGTGTCTAATGGCTGGGCTTGATGATCTTAAAGGTCTTTTCCAACCTAAATGACTCTGATTCTGTGCTTGGAGACCATCCAGGAGAGAGAGACCGGTGCAGCCACTGTGTCCCCAGCAGCACACAAGGATGAAGTTGTTTCTTCATTGCCTCAAAATACCTTGGGAGATGCTGGGACACTGCACCTTGCCCTGGCAGCAGACAATGAAGGGGACACAGCAGCCTCTCCCTTGACTCAGGTCTCTCACCACTAGGTGAGACAGGCACGTGTGGCTGGCACTGGGCAACCCAAGATGCTGGAGAGAGATGTAGCACCAGGGGTGTGTGTGGCAGAGAGGTGCCTGGTGCTCTCCATGTCATCCCAATGACATGCCCTCCCTCCCCTGGCTGTGCTCTTGCTCTCCCTGTGCAGATGGTATGGAGGCCACACAGATCTCCTGCTCCACAGGTTTTCCTGCCCCCAGCCCCTGCAAGCTATAGAGTGCTACCTCCTGGTCAGAGCGACCTCCTGCTCAGAGCCCTGTGCAGCACACTCGGGGACAGCCTGGGCACAGCTGGCACCCCATGCCAGCTCACCAAACTGCTCATCCAGCTGGGGTGTCCCAGCTATGCTCAGGTAAGCCTGGCAGGGAGGGAAGGGGATGAAGGGTGAGCTGGGTCCATCCCCAAGGCTGCAAGTCTCAGGCTGGCACGTTGGTTTCCACATTTTCTGGAGGAGAGTCCTGCCTGCAGGAAGCCAACAGCAGCAATGATTCCTACCCGTTGCTGCAGTAAACCTGCCTCCTGCTCCACAGCCAGCTGTGCCATGTCAGCCACTGGGTAAGGCCCCCAAAAGCCCTTTCCTGTCTCAAAAGCAGTGTCAGAGGGCAAAAGGAGGCTGCAGCAGCTCTGTCTGGCTATCTCAATACCTCTTGCCAGGGGCCTTGTGCACGGAGATACCCTGGACCACGAATAAGAACTCTTTTTCTGTCCCTGCAGATTGAAAAGGAGGTTGCTGTTGCTGGAGGTGGTCTAGAACCTGGCTCTGAAAAAAATCAAGAAGGTCTGGTACCTGCAGCAAGCCCATGTCCTTTGGCTAGTGACTGCCCATCTCTCTCTGGAACTCCAGCAGCAGATCTTTGTGAGAGCTGCTGGGGGATGTTTAAAACCTTCCTGGTGAGCACCAGACTGACAGGGGTCATGGATGAAGCTTTGTGCAAGTGTTTCACCTATGCGTTTCTCCAAACCAGCCCATTTAGGGTGAGGAGAGGAAATCTGGAGGAGTCGCTCTGTGGCGGGGAGGGTCTTCATTGCTGCCAATTTCCACAACCACTCCCACGCAGGGCAGAAGATGCCCAAGACTGCTCTCATTGAAGCCCAGCTTTCTGGAGCATTATCCTCCTGTCATGGGCAGCAATGACACGCTGATCACGTATCCAAAGCTGTTACTTACAAGCCAAGAGATAGTGACAAGGAGCTACTTTCAGCTGGGGAGATGATGCCCCAGACAAACCTGTAGGCTCTGCCCCTCCACCTGCTGCATGACAGGGTCTCTATTAAAAATTATTTGCTCTGACTCCTTTCTCTGGACAGGGGAGGAACAACTCACCCAGAGCAAGTAAGACAGAGAAAAGTCCAGGATTATAATTTAAAATTGACAGCTATATATATTGTTTATGGTTGGACCCAGTGATAAGATTTTTTTTTCCAGCCTAGATGATTCTACGATTTAACTACAACAAAACTTGTTCCCAAACCTGTTGGCCCAGTCAATTCAGAGGATGTTCAGAGATGAGACTAGTGCCAGAGACTGCGGCCTAGGCCAGGCAAGGATTCTGCAGCCGTGCAGCAACAGCTTCAGTTTGGTGTTTCTTGATGGGACCTGACAAACTGACCGTCCACATGTAGCTTATGCAGGTGCAAGCTATCCTACTGTCAGTTGCACACCCAGCGCTGGTGAGACACCCCTGGCCCTGCTCCCCTGGGCTGCCAAACCACCCACCCACTGGCACCCAGCACATCAGCCTGTCAGCCACCATGCTGCCCAGAGCAGAGCTTCCTGGAGCAGGTTCTGAGATGCCACCACCTTCCTCAGCACCCCGGCCTGGGCACGAGGCCTCACTCCAGCTGCCTTCACCAGCTCTGTAGCAAATCTCGCTCCACCCTACCCGTGTGAATTGTGACCCAGTGGATTACCAAGGCTCTACTGATAGCCAAGTGACAACCAAGTCCTTCAGCAAGTTTCAAGATAAACTTTTATTTAAAGAAAAAAAAAACACCCTAGGACACAGTGTTTACATTCCATCTGTCTCCTGTTTAAACATCCGTTTGGCCCACATCTTCAGAGCCAAGTGTTTCCTATTGGCTGACATCACACTAAAAGATTAGGCCGAGTTAGTCTCTGCACAGCGATGAACACAAGTTCTACAGTCGATGAAACACGTGCTCCAGCTCAAATCCTCTCGTTCTCCTGTGGGTTCTCATTTCAGAACAGCAAAACACTGACCTTTCCAAGATGCTTCAGAATACACTTTGACTATCTAACATCTTCTAAATGAATGGAAATTTTAAAAGCAATTCCCCTCTCTTCATTTGGACTGGCAAAATCACAGGCTGTGTTTAGGTTCTCAAACATTTCTTTAAGGTTTGTGCATTTGTCATCTTTGTTCTGCAACTGCCCTGGATCCAGGCAGCACGGTTTTTCTCTCTGCAGAGGCCTGTGAGCACAGGTCATCTTGCCACATGCTCTGACAGGAGGGGGACACTTCCCTACAAAGCTGTTTTAACAAAGGTACTCTGGATTCTCCTTCAGGAAACTCTGCTGACGTCTGTCTTTAGGAAGTTTGCTTTCTCCGAGTACATTTTCCCTGGTAAATACTTGCCAGTCTGAGGTAAAGCTTTTACCTTCTCTGTCTTCTGGTGATTGGATTTCACAAACCTGAGGAGGTTGACGACAGCAGCTGGTGTAATTCCAGGGATGCGGCTGACTGCCCCAATCTGCGTATGGAAACAGGAACAAGTCAACCAAGAACACGCCTATGCACGGGAGCTAGTCAGAAACGAGGTCAAAACCCACAGGTATCCCTTTCCCCGATCCCCTCCACTCCCCACGTCCCTTGGGAAGAGGCGGAAGACATTTCATTGCTACTCATGCTTGTTGTGGCCCAACATCTTACCGTCTGGGGACGGTTTGAGTCCAGCTTCTCCCGCACCTCTGCCGAGAGCGACACATCGATGGCAAAGTAATCCAGGTCCTCCGGCAGCCGGAGCGCCTCGTCCCGCCGCACCTCCTCCATCTCCTGCTGCTGGCTGGCTACACACCACTCGTACGCAGCTGTGACAGAGCATCAGGGCAACAAGACGACCAGATAGAGATGTTCATGTGAAACAAATCACTTGCAGGAATCCTTGGCAGCAGAATGAGCAATTCCACTGAGACAGTGAAAAGGTCCCACAGAAGCTTCCAGCCTCACAGTCTAGAGACCCTAATTCACATCACTACTTTGGAAGAAGTTGTGCTCTTTAATTTGTTACAGGACTTAGGATAGGCAGGTTGTCTGTTCCTCTCATCCCAGGAACGGATGGTCTACTCGACAGAGTGGTGAGGAGGCAAAACCCAGCGGTGAACACACAGAACTGACCTCACCCCACCAAGTGCAACTGAGGTGCCTGCACAGGGCTGAGCCCCGTGGCAGAAGGTGCACGCTCCAGTAACAAGGTCTCCTTCCCCAAGCAGCAAGATGAAACACCCAGGTGAAGGGACTGGCTCCCCCCACACTGAGCCACATGTACATGGACCCCACCACTAACAGATCATCACTCTTGTACTCTACCTTCTATTTTCAATCTCTCTGCCAGTTCTCTCCACTGAGCAAGCTTTCCCAGGGGCTCCGGGACAGCCCTCGCCAAAACATCCATGTTAGCCTCTGGATGTTGAAGGATTTCAAAGGCACTGTGGAAAACAAGTTTTTTATGGTAGGAAGGAGTCATTTGCATAAGGCAGATTTACAGCTGTTTCCATCTCAAACGCGTACATATCTCAGCATATGCTGGAACAAGTGCAGGGCCAAGCTCACCTCCCTACTATCTCCTCTCAGTACACAGAAGAGCTGTCAAAACTCTTTAAGAGGGGCTCTATGAAAAATGAACAGCAAGACAGCATGGCCGATAAGGGCATCAAATGGAACCTTCCACACAGACTAGGCCAACAAGGTCTTAGTCACCAATTTAAAACAACAGAAAAGACAAAGTGAGATAAAGGATGGGTAAGGGAAGCAAAAGCCTGTGTGTCCAGGAACAGCTACCTGCGAACACTAACCTGAAATCAGGTGCTGTTTCAACAAGCTTCAGCAAAACCATCACCACCTGGTGACACTCTCAGTAAGGACAGCAAGAACCAACCTTCTTGCCTTCTTGCTTTGAGAGCCTATGTCAGCACCAGGCAATGTGACAGTAAAAACACCAACTTTGCACTTATTCTATAGGCAAACATCAGATGTCTGTCCTCTGAGGGTGATAAAGGTGGAAACTTGCAGTACTGATGGCTTCAGGAAGGATGGACAAATGCTGTGAAACCACCAGCCAGATGTGTTAAAGCAAGTGTAGGTCAGACCAGAAAGCTTTAGCTGTAGTCTTTACCTGGCAGGTGACCTTCGACTGCTGCTGATGGGAACTTCTGGTATTAACTGGGACCATTTGGATATGCTGAGTTGAAGGGATTTTAGTGTTGCAATTCCATCCTCCAAAGCAGCTCTCATCTTGACTGCTTGTTCATACCGCTGCTGTGACACGCACCCAGCTTCCTCAAAACCTGCAGAGAGCGACGGCCTTAGGGACGAGGGCCTACAAGAAGGCAGGGCCGCTCACTGCAGGAGGCACCCCAGTAACCCACCTCTGAGGGTGAGCCTGGCGTCGGCGTTGTCCGGCCGGAGGGACATGCGGAACTCCACGCGGCTGGTGAACATGCGGTAGGGCTCGCTGGTGCCCAGCGTGGTGAGGTCGTCCACCAGGACACCCATGTAGCCTTCCGTGCGACTGACCACGAAAGGGGGCTTGCCACCAACCCGCAGGCAAGCATTGATCCCTGCAATCACGCCCTGGGCAGGAAGAAATCAAACCAAAAAATATGTATCAGTCTTTTCGTGGCTAAAATAGCACATTTGCCTCAAAGACTCAAGTGTCAAGCCGTTCCCTGGAAATGCAGTAGTTTGTGCTAGTAATCTAGGCAGCTTCTTTCCTGCAATACTCTGAGTGTCTGAAGGGCTTTTTGGCCCCTCCTGACATGACTAGAGACAATTCCCACATGTCTTCAATTACACCCATTGCAGCCTCTATGCTGAAATATTTGACAATCTTCCCCATTAGTTTTGTTACTGCAGTCTCAGTAACAGCAACTGCAGACACTACATGTAAAAATAATATGTGCAACTCTGGAATCGGGGTGAGAAACACAAGTGAGAACATCTCAACAGCACGAGATAGGCACAGCAAGACACTGTATCAAGCACAAAAGCCAAGGCAATGTCCCTTCCTGAGCAGATTCACCCACCTGAGCTGCAGCTTCTTCATAGCCTGTAGTGCCATTAACCTGGCCTGCAAAGAAGAGGCACTGGACAAGACGAGACTCGAGGGAAGCAGTCAGTTGACGGGGATCTAAAAAATCATACTGCACCCCATAGCCTATGACAAACAACAAGACATGTCTTATGGGAGGGATTCTGAAGGTCCCTATCCATCAGCAAAGGCAATCAGTAGGGAAGAATGTCCCAGGCTATCAGCTTTCATCTATGATTTAAAAACAAGCACAGAAAAATCTTTGCATCCAAGAATTAATTTTGTTTCATGTTTCCTTTGCTTTGCTCTTCTCTAAACAAAATCTGAGTTTCATTAACTGGTAACCAATCTGGCAAATAGATTTACAGCTATTCAATCCCCTCACCTGGCTGTAACATCTTGGCTTTTTCCAAGCCTGGGATGGACCTGACCACCTGCTCCTGGAGCTCTGCTGGCAGCGTCATCGATATGCCCTGGGGGTAAATGACATTGGACTCCAGGCCTTCGGGCTCCAGCCACACTTGATGCTCTCGGTTTGGGAAGCGCAGAACCTTCGACTCAAGAGAGGGACAGTACCTGCAACAGTAAACAGCCATGAGCACCACCTGGCATGGAGAAAAAGGAACTTTGTAGAAGCAAAGCAGGAGAGCCACAGGTTCAGACAGTCAGTGCATGCCACTGAGGGTCTTGTGTGGTGCCACATACCGCGGGCCTCTGGTTGTCTCCTTTACATGGTTGTTCAGGTGGAGGTTATCCTGGATAATTTGCTGGGCTTTCAGGGTAGTGCGAGTCAGGTAACATGACAGCTGATCTTCTGGCTGAAAAGAGACCAAACCTTACTTTAAATTAATCCAGACACAATACTGTACTCTTACTGAAGAACTGTGTTTGAGGATGTACATGACAGCTGGCTCTCACTTCTCGGAGAGATGGGTAGTGCTGTCATGCTTGCTGTACAGGCAGAACAGGAGCAATCGGAGAGCTTGAGCAACATGCCCAAAAGCAGACCAAAAACAGAACTTGGGAGTCCTGAATTCAAGTTCTAGACTACATGCTCTATTTCTAGTTACAGGATGGATATTCCTGTTAAAGCTACACATAATATTACAGCATCCAAATTAACCACAGGAATTCACAGCTCTGAAGTAAGAGGAATAACTGCTGACCAACAGCCAATTAAAGAGTTTGGTGAAGAAAAAAGAATAAATCTCTCAACTGTCTGCAATTAACATGGAAAATTTAAAGTCTGGGGAAAAAACCCACCATGTGAACTATTTCACTGTTTTTTTCTGAAAAAGAAACAATACTCAAACAATAGACCCCTCGATTATAATAGGTTATAACAGGTTTACTGCAATTCCTATATGACCCCCTCCCTGATTATAACAGGCTATTGCAATTCCTATATGCTCTGGGGCAAATTTACTCATGACACTTAATTCTGTGCTGTTTAATTACATTATATAAGAATGCATCCATTTTCCAAGATTTTCTTTGGAAAACTAAGCTGCTTCTGCTTTTAAGTTACTGTTAACATGCCACCTCTGAGCTCTGTGGATGTCTCCATCCTTTCCTAGTCAACACTATTAACGATCTCTAATTTCAACAGTTTAATCTTATTATAGAGCTGGGGACCAGCAAGACATCACAGATCTCCACAATACAGGTCTAATACTGGAAGTATTTTGTAAACCACCCACATAACCAGCACATGAAGAATATTGCTAACAATATTATATGTCACACAATTCTGACTCGAAAAGTAAAGAAAGTCTGGTTGTCAAGTTGAGAAGTGAGAGGACAAAGGCACTTGCTTTTCAAAGAAAATAAGCCACTTCTCCCTTTGCATTGAGTCCTCAGAAACGTGACACCTCCAGTATGACCACAGTCCCACTCCCTCCCCCTGCCACCAGCTCCCTCTCCGAGTCCCAGCATGACGTCCCTGGAACTGCTCCCCTGACCTGGCTCTAGGTGCTTTTGATGGTGCTGTCCCACCTTGATCCACACAGTCTTGCTGAGGAAGCTGAAGGGCACCGGAGGGTTGTCAGCGGCACGTTCCTCCAGACCCCTGAAGTCAATCGTGTCTTTGGCAAGTCGGGGCGGCGTCCCCGTTTTCAGCCTGCCCACGGCAAACCCCAGTTTCTCCAGAGTGTGAGCCAGCCCGATGGCTGGTTGGTCTCCCAGCCGCCCAGCCGGGTGCATCTCCAGCCCGATGAGGACCATGCCCCTCAGGAATGTACCGGTGGTCAGGACCACGCTCCCAGCATGGACTGTGCTCCCATCCCCTGAAACGGCAAGGCTTTAGAGATTAACGTGCTTTAGTATCAACGAATCTCTGTTATGCTGGTGTTTCTGCCTAAAACCAGGCTAACAGTGTTCACTGAGGGTTTATCCATATTTTATTTAGCAAAATCAGCATTTCAATAGCATTCAAGCATTAAGAGTAATAACTCCAATATGCAACATGCAGTTACTCCTTTGTTTTTCTTATTCCTAAGCATGTTACTTCTAACACAGACAATCCACTCCCAGTAAAAAAATCCCACCCAGGCCTTCATTTTGGGAAGCTTGTTTACTAGAACAGGAAGGAGTAATAAAACATGAGTATGCCAGCAGTAGGTCAGCACTGCCTTGTCACATTGATGGCACCACATGCCACGTACCATGTAAAATCTCAAAAAGCAGCACGGAATTCAGTATCCCTAGCCTGAAGAAAACTGAACCTCTGTACCCTCCCAATATCCTACCAGTCCAGGTATGTTTTTCATTACATTACACGTTAACCTAGTTTAGTTCACACCCAGCCTAAACCACCTCTATGGGCTAATTCAACTTTCTCACTGATGAACTGGATACATTTGCCTCGGAGGCTGCCCACAGTGTAAGCAGGTGCTCCCCGAGTTACTAGCACATACCCAGAACAACTCCCGTGACTCGGCACTTCCCAGGACGGTCTGGTTCTGGCTCTGTCAAGAGGAGATCCTCCACAGATGCCTCACGAACTGTCAACAGTGGTGTGTTAAGGATTTCTCTCTGTCATGAAAGGAGTTACTGCAAAAATTTAGGAAGTTATGAGGCACATGGGCAGCCCCAAACGTTGCTTATGTCTAAAATGTTTATCACCCTCTTCCCTTTTTCATTCTCACCAGGTCATGTAGCAGATACTCAGTCACTGTACTATCCTGATCTATAAATTTAAACTTTCCATCCACACATAAGAGTTTAAGCGCAGGAGCAACTATTCTGGTCATGAAGCCTGACCTATATATAAGATGCTATTTAATTTTTTAAACTACCATCTAACAACTTACACTGCATTAAAATACCAAACAGAAAGGTATATAGTTTTGATAAGAAAATATTAAAAACCAAAACAATCCTCTCCATCCCCTGTAGTTTATCCTAATACTTCATAATGATTAATTCATTCTAATACTGCAGCCCACAAACACACAAAATTTCCCTGAAAATAAACCCGTGGTTTTAAACTAGTCATCGCTTTTGACTTCTTAAAATATTCCCACTCCCGTTTACCAGTAGTTGCCCTTTCTACCAGGCTGTATACCTAGATAGGCTTGTAGATGATGAGT